CCTGTAAATATTCATGAAAAATAGTCTTTTTCGTTTGCTTTTTTTAAATGAACTTTTTATTCACATCTTTTTACACCTTTTAAATTAAATAAAAAGTATAATGTTCATAGTATATTCATTCTAACCATAAGGTTCAGAGAACCAAAGAACAAAAAAGAAAATTTCTCGAGCTGCCAACAAAACACGAAATAATTGGATGTTATGCGTAATCTGAGATAGGTCATGGATCAAATGTTCAAGGGTTAGAAACTACGGCCACTTATACTCCTTAAACGGATGAGTTTGAGATATATTCTCCTCATTTGACCTCTGCCAAATGGTGGGCTGGTAGACTGGGAAGAGCTGCGTATGTGTTAAAAGTTTTTATTTTTGTTTTTTTGAGCCTCTTTAATAAATGTTATTGTATATCAATAGTCAAATAATAGAAACACCAGTTCTAGATTATGCAATGCAACAATACAGGTTATTTGTTGTGATTGCGCAAGCCTACGTTGTTTACTTTGCTGGTGAATTTATTTCTAATTTATACAAACAATGTGATGCGCAAAGTTCAAGCGATGATTTTTATTGCTCGCTCATTTACACGTATCCACCAGTGGCCTAAAATCGTTTAACACTGCAATGGCCGTGGATCCTATCGAAGATTGCCGAAGAGCATGCAGTGGTCATGGATACTCAAATTCAGTGGATTTACTGTGTTTTATCAAGATTATTTACCCAATCCTACTTGGGAAGGTGATAATTATCTCTTAACCCACCCAATTGCACGTTATGTGAGTTTGAGCAAGTTTGTATTAATACACTTTCAAGTATATAAGAATATTAATTTTATTATTATATTAGCTTTTTAAAACATATCGCAAGGTCATTCAGTAACCCAAATCAGAATTGTACCGGCACCTTTATGAATTCAGAAGTTCAACTCGCAAGTTGGAATTCAACGCTCGTGGAAATCAATCGAGCTACACGTGCTCATTGTCAATGTATATTGGCCCAAAATTTCATACTCACCTTACAACCTCAACCATCAGATTCAATTGACGAAAAACGACGCATTTTACCTAATAGCCCAGGCTTAAAAAAGTTTTAACATCAGTTTGTAACTTGTTTGCATTACATACTATTGAAAAAGAGCTTTCTGAATTTTTGAAACAAAAATATTTGTCATCGAAACGAGCGAGAATGCTAAAAATCCAAGTTTCTGAATTGATAAAGAAAATTAGACCTAATGCCGTTGCATTGTTTGACGCTTTTAATTTACCTGATTATTTGTTGAATTCGGCATTAGGAAGGTATTATGGAAAAGTTTATGACACCATGATTGACTGGGCATCGAAAGAACCATTGAATAGTATCACATTTAATACTAGTCCTTATAGTGAGGATTTGTTAAGAATTATGTTAAGATTAAAATTTGATTTATTACTTTTAAATTCAATCTTTATCACGAACGTTAAGACTAATTATTAATGTTATGATAATATTTGTCGGGGATGATGCTGAAACATTGACTTATTTTAATATGAAATTTTAAAATTTTTTGGGGATATTTTTTTTAGCTTTTTTTTTTTGTAGTTAAGTTAGGGTTCAGGGCTAGTGTTTATAATAAAAAAGTATAGGTAGATCTTAGTAGGGTTTGTATTTCTAAATTGAGACCCCAACGTTTCTGCATCAGCATCATCCCTGACAATATTTATGACCGTATTTATGATTATTTATTATTATAATTATTTTTGTTACTGTAATTTTGCTAGCGACTTTCTACAAATATAAAAGCATTTATGTGCACTATATGAATAAAAGAATGTGAACTGGTTATTACAAATTACTCTTAAAGGTGTTATTAGAAAAAAAAAACTTAGAATCATGTTTTGTGAATTCTTTTCTGTCAATTTATAAATTACGCAATACAAAAGTATTTGTGCAACATTTGTCTCAAATCTGATTCAGAGCATAAACTTTTCAAGTACAGTCAAACCTCCCTAAAAGCAATTCGTAGAGACAGACTATTGAGAGCTTGCATTTAGAGAACAATAAGAAAAATTGCATTTATGGGAGTTTAGTATATATTCAACAGCGCCAGAGCGTAGGTTCGATTTTACTGTCACATGATTTTCCGACGACTATTAGCAAAGATAAGGATCGGTGTAACGTAAAGAAATTCAAAAACAGCATTTATCCCAAAATTTAGTCTAGTTAACCATCTTTGGAGCCCTAACAAATCTTGTGCAATTTTGCTATATTATCGCTCTTCCTAAACTTAACCTAAACTCTAACCCAAATATAAAAGTTTTTAGATTAACAACGTTTGTTTCCGAGTATCACGTGACAGTAAAATATCATTTTCTCATCTATTTTACCTACAACCATTTAACCGACATCACAGAGGATTAGGTTTATCATTTTATTAGTTGCAGACGTCTATTAATAGTAAATTGTCACCCGCGTGATGTCGGTTAAATGGCTTTTAGGTTAAATTGCTGTCGGAAAAACATGGTGAATACTTTTTTTTAGTACAGTCAGATGCAACCCCCTAAGTGTATCACCTCTCTAAATGCAACCCCTAATGCAACACCTCTTTAAATGCAATACTCCTAAATGCAGCATTTCTCTTAATGCAACCTTTAACTCTGGCTCGAATATACCGGGTGTTTGATAAGTCCCTGGACAAGACCTTTTTATTGATCACTTTGATTATCAAAAGTATTACGCTTTTGATTAGTAAAAAGGACCTATCTAAAAATTTTTAAGGATTAGCAAAAAGGTCCTGTCCAGGGACTTATCAAACACGCGGTATACTAAACTCCCATAAATGCAATTTTTTTATTGTTCGCTAAATGCAAGCCCTCAAAAGTTTGGTCTCTATGAATTGCTTTTTGGGATGTTTGATTGTAATTGCTTTTTGCTAGCCCGACTTTGTTTTTATTCCACACCTACTAAACCTACTAGAAAAAGGAATTCTTGATGTAACCATTACTCCTCATAAAAGGCAGCATCGTTAGTTCAATTATGTTTTATCGAATTTAACATTAAAATAAAGTCTTTCCATTTTCATTAACACCAAGTCTGTAAAACGTGAAATAAATACCGATGTATTTAACTGAGTCTATAAATAACGCTCACAGTTTTTAATTTTATTTTTTTTTTAAAATACTGTTTATACAAAAAAATACGTATATTTTCGGATAAATTACATTTAACCATTTGGGCTAATTTTGATTGTGATCTAAATAGTAGAACCGATTACTTATAACTCTGGTCAAATTTGCCGATCGTTAGGCCAAGTTCAAAAGTTTTGATTCTGAATCTGGCCAAATGATCTGCAAATTTGACCAGAGTTATAAGTAATCGGTTCGCAATTTATAAGACTAGCAATACCATATAGGCTAACTTTCTCGTGATTGGCCAATTTTATTCAATTGAATTTATACAGTTTAAAGTACTTTTACCCCCTA